TGATCTCCACCAACTCCTGAGGGAAATATCAGAGCCTTTAATTGCTAATTGCTCCACTATGTTCACTAGCTATAGTTGCCAACCTTGTTTGTCTTCTGTTTGGTGCTGAGCAGGCAGCGTACAGTGGCTTTATCAAAGCTTTTTAGCTGCAAACGACTGCCTGAAAACAAGGTTGATGGGAGGGGTGAGAGGGAACCAAAACATTAAAGTTGCCGGTTGTAAAACCAAAACAATGAGCTGAAAGATACTAAAATGTTAAATCTGTTGAGCAAGGGAAAACTGCAAAATCAAGTGATAATTTGCTGTGGGTTTGTCACTAGATCTTATCTTGTGTTATCTTTTACACACTGATCCGTTGTAAATATAAAAATATTGATTACAGCAGCTTCAAAGAAACATATTTGGTTTCAGAACGTTAGACAGGCTTGAATTTTTCAGCCTCAAAAAGAGATATACATTCTTCTCACCCACCTCTTTCTAACTTCTAAGCTGCATTACTCTTTTTCCTTTTTTCCACTCCTTGTGTTATTTCTGTCCTCAGGCTTTCCCAGAAGCCTGGCCTCTGGTCTAGGCCTCCAAGTGAGAGACGCTGCTTCACACATCTCTCTTTGGTGAAAAATAATGTCATTAAAACTGCCCCGGACAGCTAGCAACTTCTGTGTGGGTGTTCTTCTAATACAGCAGACTTGTTTAGACAGCAGAATTACTGATCAGCTTATTACCCATGCCTTTTTAAGTTTATGGACCAATCGTGGGAAAAATGTTAAGTGACTTGATGACAAGATTTACATCCTAGGAAGCTTAAGAAGAAACTGGTGAGAGAGATAAAATGCAGACAAATTTGTTTACTACACGTACATTCATTATATAGTTTGACAGGTGGGATTCATTAACTCCACACTCTGATCTGGTAAACCCCCCCCTGAAGCACGTGTTGTAATCCCTGTGGGACCCTTCATAACTTTGCCTGCTCTGCTTCATACACCAGAGAGCTGTAATAATCTGTAACTGTACTCCTCGAGCACATAGTTTTTTTTCTCTGCGTGCCTTCTGTTTATTTCATTGACACAGTGACACAGCATCCACACTGCACTTTCACAGCTGCCACTCTTGTCTTTGCCATTCTTAACACATTCTCTCTCTGTTTTTCATTTTCACTGACCAGAGTGCTTGTGTGTAGGAGGTGCAGCTTCTCTTTTCATTCGCACATCTTTGAGTCTTAGATCTTGTTGGACCTATCGTGTCCGTACGAGATAACTGAAGACAGAAGACACTGTGTTTAATGCTGCCTGCTTGAAACAGAGCGCCTGCAGGCATGCCAGACCCCTCTCTGCTCCCCCTCGTAATCGCCCTCTCCAGGGGGCTATCGGTCAATCTTTCCACGTCGGTGCATATTGTACAGCACTGGACCGTCTAAGCCCTCATCACACTGGTTACCCCCCACCTCAGACTCTCAGGCCCTCACCCTGACTATTGCCTCACAACTCATGACAGGCACATGATGTGAGAATGGCCATGGCTCAGGTATTAGCTGAGACAAAAACTGAAAAAAGAGAGACAAAGGGATAAAGGCGAACTGGTGAAAAATGTTCTATGTTGTTGAGGTTTTTCCTTCTGTCTGGCAGGCAAAACATGTAGAGCTTGCTTATCATGTTTCAGGGAAACCATACTGTAATGTGTAATATTATAATACACTATTGGTGTGTTGTAAAAAGAACAACATGGAATCACACTGGATATTTGAATGCTTCTCGGTGTCATGACTATTAATTCTGACTATTAACTTAAGCCAATCTGATGAATATTTAGATACAAGAAGGATGTACCATCTCATACACTTTTTTTTAACAATACATGTAAGAATTATTATTAAGTCAGTTTACCTTGTACAAAGAAGAAGCAGTCCTACACAGCGAATAAAAAAAAAAGAAACAGCACTAATATTAGATCTGTACTGACGTTTTTCACCGCAGGTATTTTTGCTTGTCAGAAAAGGTGTAATTGATACAATTAAAAACAATTGTAGGTGAGCTAGTTCAAAGTCGGTATTGTGCATGCTGACTCACCGTCATGGTTCACTGTGTCCCAGTTGATGTAACTGAGAAAAACCGGATCATGCTATCCCTTCTCTTAAAGGTAGGATTTATACAGTAGTTTGACATTTTGGGAAACGTGAAATTCACTTTCTTGATAGGCAAACATTGCCAAAATGTCAAACTATTTCTTTAACTGTACTTTGAACAGAACTTCTGTCCTCAAATGTGTCTCTGACACACCAGGACATTTTCTCCCCTTATGTGACTGTTGGATGCCATAACGCTGCATTATCTCTGTACTTTCCCAAACAAGCGTACCTGTAACACACACATAGAAATGCACTCGTAAGCAATGCTAGATAGTGCTCACAGTGCTGGCTACACTGCTGTGACAGACAAAAGAGCAACAGCATGATCTGCTTTTGCCTCCTGATGCAGCGGCCTGAGCATTAAAATCCATCAGACAGAAATATTTTCAGGAGTGGAGCTTAGCAGAATTTGCTTGACATTTACTTTCATGGTGATAAAAAATTCACGAGTGGAAAAAATCATGTGCTGAGGATAGTGAATACATGTTTTTGGGTTGAGAGTGAGCATTTTATCCTTGTAAAGCATGGAGTGTGAGGCAGGCAATGATGTCTTGTATGTGTGTGTTTAATGCAAATGGGATGAATATTATTATAATTGTGAAATCTGTATACGATATTCTTCATCACCACATCTCTTCTAACCTTTCTTTTCCCTCATTTCAGTGTCTAATCTTTTGTGTTTCTCCTCCTATCTCTAAACACTGCCATCAGTGCATTAAAATATGTGGCTTATCTAGGAGGCTGTGCCTATACTAGCTCATATTTGGATCCAAATGTGCACAGATGAGTATATGTTGTTTTTACTGCGGGTTAACTTCAGAGATCCCCCAACGACATAACAAGTTAAAACGTGTCAGGAGCCCGACCACTGATCAATCTGATCAATCCGATAAAACACAGTAATCAGTCCCACAGGATCCTGACAATGGTTCTCCTGAGTTTACAATAATATTACAAGACTATCCACTATGTTAGTATCAACACTTAGATTGAGCCTGAGCCTTACTTTCAATATTTGGGAACTATTTCTGAGCTTTTTTCAAGCTTCTATTTCATTTTTATTGTATATTTTTCCTGTGGGTACTATCTGACACACACACACACACCATACACAAACACACACACAGAGCATGTATGAGTAAATGTATACGTATGAGCTTGAACCAGTGGTGGGAGTGTCAAATTTCCTTCTTTCGTATATTGTGGGGAACGTGTCCCCAGGTCCAACATGCTGATTACGCGAGTGCTTCTTTGTTTTATCCACTTGTTTTTGTTCTCACTCCAAAAACTCCCATGACACAAGAAGTCTTTCTCTCCTCTCCTCTCACTGACACGACCACTCATGCTGGTTTGGTAGAAGTGGTGGGTTTATTAAAACACTCTCTGATGTGTTATAACCGCTTCCTTTTTGTCAGCTTGGCTTTTGATTAAAGAACAAATTGCTTCCCTGAAGCTCTATAAGGGTCACCGTATTATATATAGCCCTGTTCATATTACAGCAGGGTGGTTTCAGCCTTTAGTGTTGCCAGTTAGAGAATATTTAGGCTTTCATTTCTCATCAGGCAGCAAGGGCAACTTAACTTTGAAGCAAGATAAAAGATGATGACGTGTGGAAATGTGTTGTAGTCTCTCTATAATCTTTTGTCTGTTTCTCTCTCTTTGTCTCTCTCCTGCTGTCCATCCAACAGATACCTTTGAGGTCCTGATGAGGCAGGCGGAGAATCACACTAATGCGGTCCTCCAGGAGTCGTACCGCAACATGGCTGATGAAGCCGTGGGCCCTGTGCAGGAACTCTTCACCGATATCGGTCTCTTCCTGCTGGGGTCTGAGCTCAACGTTGATGACTTAGTACAGCGATTCTTCGACGCTCTCTTTCCACTGGTCTATAATCACCTCATCAACCCAGGCCTCAGCGACATATCGCCAGGCTATGCAGAGTGTGTAAGGTCGTCCAGCCGTGATGTGAGACCATTTGGTGGGGCGCCCAGCGTCCTGGCTGATCAGATTGCTCGCTCAGGGGTCTCCGGGAAGCTTCTTCTTCAGGCGCTGCATCTCGGCATCGAGGTCATCAATACCACAGACCACTTACAGCTGAGCCGCGAGTGCAGACGGGCCCTGCTCAAGATGCACTACTGTCCTCACTGCCAGGTATGGATGCATGTGTCTGAACTAAGTTTATTGATCTGAATTAATGAAAGTCTTTTCCAGCATCACTGATCTCAAAGTAATTTGCTTCACAGGGCTTAACCCAGTCCAAGCCCTGCATGGGTTACTGCCTCAACGTGATGCGGGGCTGTTTGGCAAGCATGGCAGAGATTGACACCCATTGGAGGGAGTTTGTTCGCTCCCTGGAGGGCCTGTCAGCACGAATGCACGGACCTCAGGATTTGGAGCAAGTACTTTTAGGAGTTCACTCGCTGCTTCACGATGCTGTTGGACATGCTCAGAAAAATGGACCCCGCCTCTCAGCACAGGTCAGGTCATCTTTGAGGAGAGATTCTGTATTGTTCAGGATGGTGGACTTGAAACTCTACTGTATTATATTGTGGGAGGTGAAAACCAGTAAATCTGGAAGAAAGGATTGATAGTGGGTAAATGATTTTACTCAGTCCTGGATAGATTTTTATTCTGAATTACATTGCTTTTTCAGCTGCTAGCTCCATGTTGTGTGGAGACCAAAGATAAATTGTTTGAAATTGCTCATACCACACACAACAGGTTAGTCAGATAAGTGCAGGCCAAAACTCTCCAAAAATGCATCCATGTGGGAAGCTCCAAGGTGGTCAAAAATGTAATAGTTTAACTACCAGGCCGACAAGGATTCAGGCCAATTCCAAGTGTCAACAGCTACTCCTGAGGCTTTGACTCATTTACTCAGGAAGTCTTTACACTACAAAAAAAGTAACACAAGTCTAACTATTAAGTCCAACCATGAAGTATTAACATGTAACTTTCTGCCTACATTTATGTTATATGTTGTTTATTTGTAGTGAATCTTCTCAGGATGTACCTGAACTCAAGTCTTTTTTTGTTCTGATAGAGACACCACAGCTCCATCTAGTGGTTGTCTAGTGTCCCTGCTGCTCGATAGGCTGCACATGCAGTACATTCAAAAATGGGAGATGATAGGCTTGGCTGCACTAATGGCCTTAGTAAACAGCCGTCACTCAGCTATCTAAAATAAGGCTTATTTGTCACACACCAGTACAATTTAACAAGATTTAAAATGCCTGTTTCTCTCTCGGTGTTTAGACTTAAATTTGTGTCTGTCTCGTTGGGTAATAGGTGCACAAACTGTGTGGCCCCCCAAGCAGGAAGCTTGCGCAGTCAGTCAGCATCCAGCACAGCAGCAGAGAATCCATCCCTTTCAAAGCTCTTGTCAGAGTGTCAGGGGACTCGCTCGCTGTCAAGAGAAGGTAAGTGGTTGAAAGATGACAGATGTGTGCATAGAAAGAAGTGTCATTTTCTGATTATAGTTCATTAAATCTACCATTAATATTTAAAACACCCTGTTAAACAAGTTAATAATGTGTGTGTCTGCATGTGGCTGTGTTTTCAGGGACTTTCTGAATGGTCTACGTTTCTACCGTACATACTACGGTGGCCTGGCGGATCAGCTGTGTGTGAGTGAGCTGGCCTCTGGTGACGGACTGTCCTGCTGGAATGGAACCGACATTGTTAAAAGGTTTGTCTTAAAGAGGTCAATAATACAGATTGGTGAAACAATTCAATAAATCCAACATTAAGTGTCTTAGTAAGGTAGAAACCACTGCCATCCTCCAGAACAGCTCCAATGCTTCATTGCAAAGTTTTTCAACATCTCTAAAATTCTATTGGAGAGATCTTCCAAAACAGTGCGAAGTGCCTTAAACCTGCATTCTTTCTTATGGCCAGCAGGGGGCGTCTCAGTTGCTAGTTTCAGGTCTTTTCCATACAGCGTGATGTACATTTAGTAAATGATGGTGCCATTTAGAATAAACAGACAATAAAGCAGGGTATGCTTT